GCCAGGTGAGGGGACCTCCCAGCACCTCCCTCTTGGACTTTCTAGCCTCCAGAACTGAGAAGGTCCCATTCTGTATCCATTACTGAGCCTCGGGTATCATGGCCCAGCAACAGGAGGGGATCGGACCCCCAAAGCCGGATTCAAGATGTCTTCCTGGTGTGCGTTTCAGGGGTGCTGTGACAAAAAGCCCAACTGCCCTCACTTTCAGAGCTCCCTGGGGCCCCAGACTCTGGAAACCTCTGCAGGAGAACAAAGATGACTCCAGGGAGCAACGGGCTTGGATCATGTTACCGGGGGCTGGGGCGGCGTGATAAGTGACAGCCCAGGCCCCTGTGCTCTCTGCCGCCACCGTCCACAGTTGATGTTGTCCCCTGTGTGTCATGGGGCTTAGGTCCTCATCAAACCAAGAGGCCTCATGAGAGCAGGAACCCAGGCTCCTGGAAGCCCAGGAGTGCCGGGCCTGTGCTTCTGGTGGCTACTGAGGGTGCTGGTCTCCTCTGCTCAGGCTGCCAGCGCCGAACACCGCAGACCCGGTGCCTTCTGCAAAAGCTATTTTCTCACCATTCTGGGGGCTGAATGCGCCAGATCAAGGTCTGGCGGGCTGGCCTCTCTCTCTTGCAAGAGAGCTGCCTTCTCTGTGTGCCTCCTGGGCCCCTTGTTACCAGGACACACGTCCCGTCGGCCTCATTTGTCCTCCACGGCGTCTCGTCTTCAGTGTGTTGGGGTTAGGGCTTCAGGGTCAACCCCTGGTGCACAGAGTTCAGTCCATGGTGCCTGCTTTAGACTTCTGATTTTTCTCCTGGTTAATTAGCATGTTTTCCAGCAGTTCGGTGGTTCTACAAGAATAGAATTACTGACTAACTCGGCAATTCTCCTAGGTATATGTGCAAAAGGGTTAAAGATGGGTATTGAAACAAGAAAATGTGAGAGTGTACGTTGGCAGCATGAGTCACAATTCCCAGAAGATAGGCACAACCAGATGTCCCCTGTGGGTGAGTGGACGAATGAAATCCCTGTCCATGCCATGGGCATTCCCCGCCACAGAGGGCAGGACGCTGCAGCTTGGAAGGGCAGCCAGCGCTGTTCAGGGCAGGGAGTCACAGAAGGCCATTCCCTCAGGAGCCTGTTTATATGAAACTCCCCAAATAAACCTGGAGACGAGATGAGGGTCAGTATGTACCAGGAACTGGGGAGGGGTCGTGATGGGTGGTTCTGGGTGTGAGGGATCGGAAGGAGTTTGGGAACAGACGGTGGTGATGGTCTCGTGACACTGTGGAAGTACCAATTGTACACGTTTCCATCTTTCATGGTGCTGGGGACTGAACCCCAAGTCCCCTGCTGAGCTGTCCCTCCAACCTGAAAGTGGTCGGTCTTGTGCATTTTGCCACAATAAAGCAGACCCCGTCCCGGAGGCCTTCTTTGCCTCCTTTGACTGTTGGTGCAGGAGAACCCATGGCCCCGCAGTCCAGCTTCTTCTGTGTGTTACAGAGGATGCCCAGGGGCTCACGATGGAGCACGCCATGCTGCGAGACCTGGAGGAGTCCTTGCAGAAAGAGGCAGGTGGGTGAACTCCCTCTCATGCCACAAATTTGGTGTTTGAGGGCATAGGAGGTAAATCGCCTTCCTGGCATTTGATGTTTTTCAGGAGAGGAGGAGGATGGGAAGCCCAGCGTTCTCGAGCCTAAGCCTGCTTCAGCCTGGACAAGTACATTTTGGCCTGAAGACAGTGACATTTTCTACGACGTCACCCAGAGAAACCAGAGGCTGATACCATTCTTGAGTCCACTTATGGGCCCTGAGGCCAGGCCGCGCACAGTGGTGCTGCACGGTGCTGCAGGCGTTGGGAAGACCACGCAGGCCAAGAGGACTTTGCTGGACTGGTCGGAGTTCAGTCAGAGTCCTCTGCACTGCGCCTTCTACCTCAGCTGCAGGGAGCTCAACCGCATGATCCCATGCACCTTCGCAGAGCTGATCTGCAGGAACTGCCCCGAGATGCAGGACGTCGCCCTGGAGGTCCTGACCCGAGCAGAGAACGTCCTGTTTGTGGTGGATGGCTTCGAGGAGCTGAAGGTGCCGGCGGGGGTGCTGATCCATGACATCTGTAGTGACTGGAACCAGAAGAAGCCGGTGCCCGTCCTGCTGAGCAGCTTGCTGAAGAGGAAGATGGTGGCCAAGGCCACCCTGCTGGTCACCACGCGGCGCGAGGCCCTGCGGGAGCTTCTGCTCCTTGTGGAACAGCCGCTGCTGGTGGAGGTGGAGGGCTTCTCGGAGGCTGACAGGGAGCGGTTCTTCCTGAGACACTTTGAGGACACAGACCAGGCACTGCGAGCTCTGGACACCGTAAAGCACAGCCCAGCCCTGCTCCACCTGGGCACTGCGCCCGCCGTGTGCCAGCTGCTCTGCGCAACTCTGAAGCTCCTGATGGACGGTGGAGAGGACCCTGGCTTGGCTTGCCAGACCACCACATCACTGTTCCTGAGGTTCCTCTGTGACCAGTTCACGCCAGCGCCCGGCGGCCATCCCCACCTGCGACGCCCTCTGAAGGCCCTGTGTCTCCTGGCTGCCCAGGGCCTGTGGACCCGGGTATCCCTGTTCGACACAGAAGACCTGGAGCCACTTGAGGTGGAAGAGGCCGACCTCCGTCCCTTCCTGGACAGGCATGTCCTCCAGAGGGACAGGGACCACGAGGACTGCTTCTCCTTCATCCACCTCAGCATGCAGCAGTTCCTGGCGGCCGCCTTCTACATCCTGCGGTTCCCCGGGGACAGCGAGTGGCAGGGCTCCAGGTTGGACATCAGGGGTGTGCGGGAGCTATTCTCCACGGAGGTCAGAGCAAGGAATCCCCAGCTGGCCCAGGCCGGCCGCTTCCTGTGGGGCCTCCTGAACGGGGCCAGGGCGAGGGAGCTGGAGGCCACTTTCGGCTGCCAAGTGTCCTCGGAGGCCGGGCAGGAGCTGCTGAAGCACACGTCGGAGGAGGAGGAGCCCATGCTGTGGGCAGTGGGCCTTCTGGAGGTCTTCCACTGCCTCTACGAGTCTCAGGACCCAGAGCTGGTGAGCAAAGCCACGGCCGCTCTGAAGGACGCATCCCTGCACCTGACCACCAGCCAGGACCTCCTGAGCTGCTCCTTCTGCCTCCGGCACTGCCAGGACCTGCAGAGGCTCTCGCTGCGGGTGGCCAAGGGGGTGCTCCCGGAGGAGGAGGTGGCGCTGGAGCTGGATGCTCTGGACGGAAGGTTAGTGCCCTGCCACGGTCCACTGGGCCTCCAGGGAAGGAGGCCAGAGCCTCCTGTTTAACCCTTGAGGGGGGAAGCATGACACTGTGGCTCTTCTCTGGAGGTGAGCCATCATGGCCAAGGGGGCGACCTGCGTGGGTGGGCTGCAGGAGGTGAGGGAGGATCACCATGCTCTGGCCCCACCATGGGGAGGGCTAGTTAATCCCACGTTCAGGAGAGGCCACCGCATCAGGGCCAGGGAGGCCTTCTTCACCTGCTTGCCACTGTCTGGCCAGGGATGGCCTCGGCCAGCCACAACTGGAGCACCTCCATGGGTTCATGTGAGGGCAGCCGAGCTCCGTCGGCTCCCAGCTACAGCTTGGTTCTCCTTTAGGGCTCACACGTGTTTGTGGATCTGTGGGCCCAGCGTGGTGCGTCTAGAGGAGCCTGCCAGGTGCTCTCCTCAGACCCCGCCCACAGCCTCTCCCAGACCCCGCCCACAGCCTTCCACAGACCCCGCCCACGGCCTCCCCAGACCCCGCCCACGGCCTCCCCAGACCCGCCCACGGCCTTCCCCAGACGCCGCCCACGGCCTTCCACAGACGCCGCCCACAGCCTTCCACAGACGCCGCCCACAGCCTTCCACAGACCCCGCCCACAGCCTCCACAGACCCTGCCCACGGCCTTCCCCAGACCCTAGAGATGGCTGTGCTGCCTCCAGGGGCCCTATGCCTCACATAGGAGGGGACATGCCATCCTGACTTCCGGTCTGCCTCTCATCCTTAACTGCCCTCTGGCTCCATTGGTTCAGTTCAAATGGTGGAATGACTCCTCCCTCGTAGCTGAACGACCTGTTGTGTGCATGGACCTCTGTGGCTCTACCCGCCCCCCACAGTGGGCACCAGGGCTCTCGTGAGCAGTGCTGCGGTATCCCCATCCCTATGGTCCTCCCGGTTCGGAGGACGTCTGGCTTCAGAACACCACGCCTGGCTGGGCATAGGGTTCGAGTCTCCTGGGTCATAATGTCCTGCGGTCACACTCCGAAGTCACTGCCTGCTGGTGTGGGGCGTTGCCTCTTGCGCCCACCCTGGTTCTGTCACCTTGCCACCTCCAGTCTCTGGAATGGTTAGACACAGGGTTGGAACCAACATGTGCTTCCCTGGGGTCAGAGGTGGTGCCCCTCCAGAATGTTCCCCTTGACCTGGAGTCGGCTCTGCTCCCACCCAAGCAGAGACTGAAGGAGGGGGAAGCTGAGCCTGGCCGTGAGGGACCTGGAGCTCCGACCCCGAGGGGTGTGGGCAGGTCTCCCCTCCCAAGTCTCCCCTCCCTGGTTGGCACCTGCGTGGGCTATGCACACTGAGCCTGCAGCTGTCCACGTACCCCGTGGGCAGGAGCCGTTCCCTTGCACTGTTCTCTGGCTCTTGTGCTCATCCCGTCCGACAGCCTGCTCTTGGCTCTGAGACCACTCTAGACCACTGTCTGAGTTCCAAGTGTTCGGTCCCCCGCCAAACCCCGTGGGCTCTGATGCACTGTGGCTTCAGGGCGCTCTCTCCTTGGAAGTCAAAATCCTATTTTTGTGATTCCAAAGATACCGTGCATATGTGGGGAAATTAAAGCAGGACAGGGATCGCAGACACCATGTCCCTCCCCGTCCTGCCATCCGCGGCAGCACAGGAGGAGAGGAACCGCCTTTGAAAACCGAGCACTTGGAGATGAATCTAGTGGCAGGTTGTTTTTTGTGTTTTTATAGTTGTAGAGGGACAGAATGCCTTTGTTTTTGTCTTTAAGTGTGCTGAGGATCAAACCCAGTCCTCACGCATGCTTGGAAAGCACTGTACCACCGAGTACACTCTGCTCTGAGCGACGGCTCCAGCCCGTTTTAGAGTTTTAGTTAAACGAATGAATTAGCTTGGGAAATGGCCAAATCGCCCTCTGTGGTTGTCAATTGGGTGTTCAAGTGTCCCATCTTGGACAAGGGGGTCGCCATCAGTCCTTCACCAGCAGGACCCTAGGCTTCCCCTCCTGTAGTGAATGGTGACGTGGGACATGCAAGCTCTCCTCCCGTGGTGCCTGTAGGGTGGGTGGTCTCACGGGGTGCTCAACGACTCATAAATCATGTGTCAAAGGGGAGCACCCAGAGTGACCCTGAACACCTTGACTGTGAAGGACAGATGTCGATTTTTCTCCTTCGTGACGTTGGGTTGGTAACTCTTCCCTTCTCTTGGGTAGGTTCCAGAGTCATCAGAACCTACATCTTCCCTGGAGCGAGCTCTGCTCTGTGTTCAGCTCCAACAAGAGCCTGGTCTTCCTGGACATCAGCCACAGCTTCCTGAGCAGCCAATTTGTGAGCACGCTCTGTGACCAGCTGGCCTCTGCAAACTGCTGTCTCCAGAAAGTGGTGTAAGTCCTTTGTCCCAGGCCCACATCCCAAGGGGCACAGCCAAGCTTCTTACTGTTGGATGTTGGAGGAATATTCAGATTCCTGTCCCAGACTCCAACCAGGCGCCGAGACGCTCCTGTCCTTGGAGAGTACAGTGGGAGGATCCCATAAAGCCAGGTTAATGCCGCGTGCAAGAGGAAGAGAGCGTGCTAGCCTCAAACTTGCCATCTTCCTGCCTCGGCCTTCCGAGTCGCTGGGACTAAGGAGTATTTTTTAATGTGAAAAAAAGGTTCCAAAATGTCGCCATCCCGCAACTATGTTTCTGTTCATGTGCAGAAGTATAGAACTCAAAGCCTCATCTTTGTTTTCTGTTCCTTAGCCTCAAAAACATTTTCCCCGATGGTGCTTATCAGAACCTCTGCCTGGCTTTGGGAGGACACAAGACCCTGACACATCTGATCCTCGAAGGCAGTGAGCTGGACGGTGTGCTTTCCTCGTTGCGTCAGGTTTTGAGTCACTGGAGATGCAAGCTGCAATGTCTCAGGTATCTCTCTCTGTCACCAAGACCCCTCCTGGCACAAAGCTATCACAACCTGGGCTGCAAATCTGCATAAATTGGAAGAAAACCTTCCTTATTTTAACTGGAAATGGCAGCACCCGGGGTGCATTGGCCAGAATAGCACACGGGCTGGAGTTCGATCTCCTCCAGCCTTGAGCACTGAGTAACCTGAACTACCACACAGGGAAGCCCCCAGTCCTAAGGGCTACCCAGAACCTGGAGAGCATCCTATCGGGCCACTGGGGGTTCACGAACCTCCTGGGTCACGAGGCCAAAGGCCTCCCCTGTCCAGGCAAGGACCCCAGGAGCCCAGGCTGCCCTCTCCTCGGCACTCTGGAGATCTGCCTTGGGAAGTTCTCTGCAGAACTGTGCTGGTGTTGGCCACCCCCACCTGGAGTGGCAGCAGGGACAGTCTACAGTGGGCATTAGCCTCTGCTGAGGGAGGGGTTGCTGGGCTCTTCAACAAAGCAAAATGGGGCAGCCAGCCCGTCCCAGGGCAGAGGGCAGGGGAAACCAGGTCCCAGCACATGCCTTGATGGCCATCGCCATTGGCCATTGCAAAGGACCCTCCTTGCCCCCTCCTGGGAGGGTCAACAAGGACAGAGTCGTGTGACTAGAGACCTGGGCCACTGGCTGATTTTTGGCCAGGAAGTTGATACCCAAATTGGAGGCCCATAGGAGGCCGCGCAAGCCCAGCCTCCTGTCCCTCCGGAGGCACCTGACCTTGCGCCTGGCTCCCCCGCTCGGTGGGCTCCTCTGCTGTGACTTGGGCTCTGAGAGAAGGTCTTCCCTGTTCCTCTTGAGGTTTCCAGTCACTTCAGCCACGTGGCAGGCACCCCC